AATTAAAACTAAGTTGTGTTTTACTTTTTAAAAGTGAAATTATTTTCAATAAATTATTTCAACATGTAACCAATATAAAAATTATTAATGAGATACTTTACATTCTTTCTTTATATTAAATCTTTAAAATCCAGTGGATGCTTTACACTTAACATGTGGCTAGTGGCTAGCTGTGTTTTTAATAGAAGAGGCCTAGATTCTAATGCTCTTTACTGAAGTGTGAACCTTTTTAGGAAATAGCCTACTTATAGAAAACACCTAACTCTCAACTTGTAATTTTTTTAATTTCTCTTTCTAAATCTAGAAACTGATTTAATATTAGATTTGTATTTGAGAACATTTTATTTTCATTAGGAAAATCTGTTGTCACATTATTAATGTATTAATGTCCTTTATTAGCCATTGCCCAGGAGTAGGTTAGCTATACCCTATGATTAGAAAGTGAATCTGGACAACTAAAGATCAGTACTTAACAGGATATTTTTTTTGCTTTGATTTTTTTTTTTTTTTTTTTTTTTTTTTGAGACAGGGTCTCACTTTGTTGCCCAGGCTAGAGTGAGTGCCGTGGCGTCAGCCTAGCTCACAGCAACCTCAAACTCCTGGGCTCAAGCAGTCCTCCTGCCTCAGCCTCCAAGTAGCTGGGACTACAGGCATGCGCCACCATGCCTGGCTAATTTTTTCTATATATATTAGTTGGCCATTAATTTCTTTCTATTTATAGTAGAGACGGGGTCTTGCTCTTGCTCAGGCTGGTTTTGAACTCCTGACCTCGAGCAATCTGCCCGCCTCGGCCTCCCGGAGTGCTAGGATTATAGGCGTGAGCCACCGCGCCCGGCCTGCTTTGATATTTTTTATATAAATGCTTCCAAGATGTGCTCCATGTTTCTGTCTTATGTACAACATAATATATGCTCCATGATTGAGAATCATTAATGATATTGTCTTAGTCTGTTCAGGCTGCTATGACAAAATACCATAAATTGAGTAACTTATAAACAACAGATATTATTGCTTATAGTTCTGAGGGCTGGAAGTCCAACATCAAGATGTCTGCATATTTAGTGTCTGGCAAGAGCCTGTCTTGCTGTAACCTCACATAGTGAAAGGGGCACTCTTTGGGGCTTTTTTGATATTGGCATTAATGACCTAATCATCTCCTAAAGGCCCACCTCCTAATAACATCACACTAGTGATTAGGTTTCTTTTTTGTTGCTGTTGTTTGAGACAGAGTCTCACTTTGTTGCCCAGGCTAGAGTGAGTGCCGTGGCGTCAGCCTAGCTCACAGCAACCTCAAACTCCTGGGCTCAAGCAATCCTTCTGCCTCAGCCTCCCGAGTAGCTGGGACTACAGGCATGCGCCACCATGCCTGGCTAATTTTTTCTATATATATTAGTTGGCCAAGTAATTTCTTTCTATTTATAGTAGAGACGGGGTCTTGCTCTTGCTCAGGCTGGTTTTGAACTCCTGACCTTGAGCAATCCACCCGCCTTGGCCTCCCAGAGTGCTAGGATTACAGGCGTGAGCCACCACCTGGCCTGGTTTCAACATATAAATTCGGGAGGATACAAATATTTAGACTATAGCAGGTACATTCTCTAATTTTTGCAATTTTGCTGTAGGTAATTCTTTGGAGACTAATTCTGAGCTAACTCTTAAGACAAATCCTATGAGCTGCTTCTGAACAATGTAGCTTGGCTGCCTGCCTCTAAAATTCTTTATGAATCAAATTTGAAGCACCTAGTCTTTTCTAAATTGGTTTCAGATTGATCGATTGGTTTGGTTTTGGTTTTTTTTTTGGTGGGGGGCACCAAGAGGAGGCGTGTCTCACTATGTTGTGTAGGCTGGCCTCAAATTCCTGGACTCAAGTGATCCTCCCACATCAGCCTCCCGAGTAGCTGAGACTATAGGCACACCACTGTACCTAGCTGCTTTCAGATTTTTTTTTATCTGAAAAGACCAAAAAAGCATACTTAAAAAGTATGCTTTAACTTTCAAAATTCAAAACATTTTTAAAGTTTCAAATAAGTTATAACAGTGTCTTTTCAGTGTTATGTTTGTTACTAATATTTTGTGTGTGTGTGAAAATGTAGAGCGGAGCATGTCATTTGGATCACTACATTATTCATCAGATGGAGACATTTTGATTTCATGACCTTCTAAGATATTACTGCAAAAAACAAAACTATGTTGTGTTGTTGCAATCATAGTCCTAAGTGCAACTTTGCTGTTCTATAATTTTGGCTTTTCAAGGCTTCACTAATTTACAGGATCATTTTATGCTGAATAACTCATGCTGGTTAATTACAGCTTGGTTGCATGTTATTTCATCTGTTTCCCATTTGTATTCTTAGATGATCAGGTGCCTCTCAAGTATTATTCCTTGTTTTTTATCCAGAATTTTAGCCAATTCATCAGTATGCCTTTGCAATTAAATGGCATAAATTTTCTTAGTAATATAAAAAATGAAATCTTGTTATGTGTGAGTATGCAGAGCTCTCTTCTTGAACTAAATTGGGACACATTTCAGGACTGTCCTTAGACATATTTCCCAGGGCTAGAGGCCTGTCTTAAATACTGAATGAATAATACTCATTTCCTACTAGACTAATTTTGCTTGTTTAATTTGTATGCTAAAAGCTTTGATTTTTTTAAAGAACATATTCTACATGTTCATTGTAAGTAAACTAGGAAATAAAATAATTTAAAGCACTTAATATCCCACCCCCCAGGTATAGCTATTGTTAAAGATTACATATGTATATTCTTCTAGTCTTTTTTTGTTTGCAAGCTTTGAGCCTTGTACCTATGCTATCTTAAGTAAGTCTAGATTATTCCAGTTATTATAATACTTTGTGATGAAGTTTGGTGAGAATTCAGTCCCTCACTGGTAATGATGAAACTTCAGATAGTCCAAATGGTTCTTTTTTTCCTTATTGTATCTCCATTTGATCTCAGAAATCTTCATGGTGGTAGAAGTATTTTCTGGATCTGTGTGTTTGTCTCAAAATATCAATGTGAATGGTTAAATAAAATCACCTTTTTAACATTTAAATGAATACTTATAAATACATTCCTTATCCAAGAAACTCTTGCCACACCAGTCAACCAAAAAATAAATTGGGTGGATGCCTTTTTTGGCTCTTACCCAATCTGCACCCAGATGCTCAAAATAAACAGCACTTTGCTACAAAAAAATAAATAAATAAAATAAATTGATGTATCCATTGTGGTTTGAAAATGCACATTTTAAGGGTTTTGACAAATGTGTGATGACATCTCCACCACTGTAGTATCATACAGAGTGGTTTCACTGCCCTAAAAGTCTTCTGTACCCTACCTATTCATCCCTCCCTCCCCAACAACCCGTGGAAACCACTGATCTTTATATTGTCTTCATACTTTTTGCCTTTCCCAGAATATCATATAGTTGGAATCAGACAGGATATAGCCTTTTCAGATTGTTTTCTTCAACTTAATAATAGGCAGTTAAGTTTCCTTCATGTCTTTTCATGGCTCAATAGCTTTATTTGTTTTTTTAGCTTGAGTAATATTCAGTTGTCTGGATATCCCATGGTTTATTTATCCATTCACCTACTGAAAGACATCTTGATTGCTTCCAAGTTTTGGCAGTTATGAATAAAGCATCTGTAAATATCTGTGTACTGGTTTTTGTGTGGATGTAAGTTTCAGTTCACTTGGTGAATTACCAAGGGGCGCAATTGCTGGGTAGTATGGTGAGAGTAATTTCGTAGGAAACTGTCTTCCAAAGCATCTGTACCAGTCTGTAGCCCCACCAGCAGTGAATGAGAGTTCCTGCTGCTGCACATCCTTGCCAGTATTTGGCATTGTCAGTGTTTTAGGTTTTGATCGTTCTAATATGTGTGTAGTGGTATTCATTGTTTTAATTTGCAATTATCTGATGACATAGGATGTTGAATGTCTTCTTACATGATTATTTGCCATCTTTATGTCTTCGGTGAAGTGTCTGTTCAGGTCTTTTATCTCTTTTTAACCATGTTGTTTGTTTTCTTATTGTTGAATTTTAAGTGTTCTTTGTATATTTTAGATAGCAGTTAATTAGCAGGTGTGTCTTTTGCAAATATTTTCTCCAAGTGTGTGTCCTGGCTTATTCTCTTGACATTGTCTTTTGCAGAGCAGAAGTTTTCAATTTTTATAAAGTCTAGTTTATCAGTTATTTTCTTCATGTATTGGGCCTTTGGTGGTGTATCTAAAAAGTCATCTTCATACCCAAAGTCATCTAGGTTTTCTCTTTTGTTATTTTATAGAAGTTTTATAGTTTTACATTTTACATTTAGATCTATGATCCATTTTGAGTTAATTTTTGTGAGGGGTATAAGATCTATGTCTAGGTTAATTTTTTTTTTGCATGTGTATGTCCAGTTATTTCAGTGTCATTTGTTGAAAAAACTATCTTTGCTTCATAGGATTACCACTGTTCCTTTGTCAAAGATCAGTTGAATTTATTTATGTGGGTCTGTTTTGGGGCTCTCTGTTCTGTTCCATGGATGTATTTGTTCTTTCACCAACACTACCCTGTCTTGATTACTGTAGCATCAGAGTAAGTCTTGAAATCAGGTAATGTCAGTTCTCTAACTTTGTTCTTCAATGTTGAGTTGGCTACTTTCTGGGTCTTTTGCCTCTCCTTATAAACCATAGGATCTAATTGTCAATATTCATAAAATAACTTGCTGGGATTGTGATTGAGAGTGCATTGAATCTATAGATCAAGTTGGGAAGGGCTGACATTTTGACAATATAGAGTCTTCTGTTCATGAACATGGAACAGCTCTCCATTTATTTAGTTCTTTGATTTCTTTCATCAAAATTTTGTAGTGTTTCTCATATAGATCTTATTATACATGTTTTGTTAGATTAATACTTAAATATTTCATACTTTGGGGTGATAATATAAATGGTAATATGTTCTTAATTTCAAATTCCACTTGTTCATTTATGGTATCTTCTTAACTTTTTTTAAGCAATTAATGGATGCCTGGAAGTTGATATACATACATATTCAGAAATGTTTTGCCACCTGAGACCTGTGAGGAGGTAAGCTTCGTGGTGCAATCTGTAATTAGTATTGAGAAGAGAATCTATTACGCATTGGTTAATTTCAATTTGTTGTTGTTGTTTAAATTCTGAAGTTATTTTATATTATGGTGGAAAGCAGGAATAAAAAAAGAAAAAGAAAATTTATATGGACAGCCAGGTCCTCCAAGAGTCCATTGAGAATAGAAGATGAAAAGAATACTGTCTTTTAGAATAGTTCCATGTGAGAAGCTTAAGAGGAAAAACAGATCAAATTTCCTCTTAGTATGATTCACCTTTATGGTATTATATTTCAAGTATGTAGGATACACAGTTTCTTTTTTGGACTTCTAAAAGCAGGAAAGACTATAAAGAGAATACAGATGGGAAGGTTTTGGGGGAAATGGATATGATGCCTCCTGGCACGTGGAAAGTATGCAGTAATTGTTCAGTGAGCGAGTACTGTTTGGATAGGGCAAAGTGGGGAGCAGGGAGGATGGATTAGGGTTTAAAAATTATGTTGGAAGAAAGGTGAAGAATGAGGAAGATCACTGGGAGCTGGAATTGAGGGTTTCTATATGGAGTGCTTGGAGACCAAGTTGGAAAGATAAAAGGGAAAATGATTATAGAGGGCTTCAAATATGGGACCAAGGAATAGATTTTACTCTGCAGGAACGGAGAGAGCTATCAAAGGTATTGGAGTAAGAAATACAGTGATAGTAGGATTTTAGGAAAATTAGTCTGTTGGTGATATCCAATGTGACTAGAGAAAAGAGAAGAGTAGACCAAGTATGAAGTTGTACAGTCTAGTTTTGTGATGATGATAATTGATGGAGAAAATGGAAAGAACGAATGATTTCAAGGGACATTGTATAGTGAAAAGTTGTTTCAAAGCTACCCAAAAATAAATGGGGATGGTGAGCTACTTTGGGTTTTGTGTTTTGGCAATATTGATAAAGGTAAGATAAGAATAAGAAATACACAATAAGAAAAATAAGGAAAATAAGAATTAATAAGAAATACACAATTAAAAAAATAAGGAAAATAATTCTATCCAATTACTTCCTTGCCTTCTGTTACCAGGCTGAGTTTAAAAGGGAAATAATGAACTGAAGCTCACTCAGAGGGGAATAAGCAGAATTATCACTGTCATTTCCTTAGACTAGCTTATGTTTAATATCTGGCTGATTGTTTCCTTTACTTAAAACTCCTGTTATAATCCTTAATGTACAAACCTATGTATTAACTTTATAAAAAGTTCAAATACATGAGAAAAACAAAAGGTAATCTGAAAATGTATTGGTGGTCTCCACATTGTTAAAAAAAAATCACCAGAAATGATTCTATAATCTCTACGATTTTAAAAATGTAAAACCTTTCTAAAGACTCAGCACACCTAATATGTGAGAACAAAAATGTACACAGTGTTTAGCAACTTCATTATAAAATGTTTAGGATGAAAAAGGTAAATTATAGCATTCAAAAATAGATGTCACGGGCCAGGCGTTGTAGCTCACGCCTATAATCCTAGCACTCTGGGAGGCCGAGATGGGAGGATCGTTTGAGCTCAGGAGTTCGAGACCAGCCTGAGCAAGAACAAGACCCTGTCTCTACTAAAAAAAAAATAGAAATAAAATAGCTGGATAGGCCGGGCGCGGTGGCTCACGCCTGTAATCCTAGCACTCTGGGAGGCGAAGGTGGGCGGATTGCTCGAGGTCAGGAGTTCAAAACCAGCCTGAACAAGACCCTGTCTCTACTATAAATAGAAATAAATTAATTGGCCAATTAATATATACAGAAAAAAAAAATTAGCCAGGCATGGTGGCACATGCCTGTAGTCCCAGCTACTCGGGAGGCTGAGGCAGGAGGATTGCTTGAGCCCAGGAATTTGAAGTTGCTGTGAGCTAGGCTGACGCCAGGGCACTCACTCTAACCTGGGAAACAAAGTGAGACTCTGTCTTACACACACAAAAAATAGCTAGATAACTAAAAATATATATAAAAAATTAACAGGGCATGGTGGCACATGCCTGTAGTCCCAGCTACCTGGGAGGCCGAGGCAGGAGGATCACTTGAGCCCAGGGGTTTGAGGTTGCTGTGAGCTAGACTGACGCCATGGCACTCTAGCCCAGGCAACAGATTGAGACTCTATCTCAAAAAAAAAAAAAAAAAACTAATAGATTTTAGAAAGCCATAAAGTATCTATCTTATTTCTATGGCATTTTCTGGGCATCATACTTTTAATTTTATTGTCATTTTCTACATTAAGGATTTGTGTGTGTATGTGCTTCCGTGAATGATCAGTCCACATCTTTTTAAAGGTTATGTCTAGAGAAGATATTTTCACCCTGGTTTGTCTACTCAAGAGCTTTATCAGCAGCCGAAGCAGTCAACGCTTTGAGGCCTTTCTATTTTGCAGTACATCCAGATTTCTTTGGACAGCACCCCAAAGAAAGGGTAAGTTTGTTTTTATACATTTCTGTTTAGTTTGTTTACCTTTGATACAATATAATACATAGAGTTCTATAAATTTGGATTATTCTCTTGTGGTATAATCAATGCTTTGAACTAATTTGAAATATAGATACTGACAATTAAAAATATAACCTTTTTTAATGAAAGCTGTCATTTTTTTGTGCAGGCAATGGAGCTGTCATATTAACTCTGTAGAGTATTATTAATCTTATTTTTTGTACCAGTTTTGGGAGTAAAATTGGGGGTTTAAAAGAAAACTTAAGACCTTTATTACTATGATCAATGCTTTGTTTTTCTTTGTTTACTTTAATCCACCCATCTGCACACTCAGTCAATCCTTTTTAAAAGGTGATACAAGGAAGGTGTTTCAGTGCTGTAATGACTTTTCCTTGTGTTGTGTGCCGCTGGGACACTTCCTTACATCAACAGTTAATGTGTACTCAAGGAGTACAAACTGATAGGAAAAATAACTTATGATAGTCTTAGGGTAGTCAATATTTTTTTAACACTAAAAAATATAGCGTCAGCCCTTCCTATCCATGGGTTCTGCATCTGTGGATTCAACCAACCTCAGATTGAAAATATTCAGGAAAAAAAATTGAATCTGTGCTGAACATATACACACTTTTTTCTTGTCATTATTCCCTGAACCATACATTACAACTAGTATTTACACAGTATTCACATTGTGTTCGGTATTATAAGTAATCTAGGGATGATTTAAAGTATACCAGAAGATGTACATGGGTTATATACAAATACTACACCATTTTATATCAGGGACTTGACCCTATGTGAATTTTGGTATCCACAGGTCACGTAACCAATCCCCCACAGATACCTTGGGATGACTGTGTATTATTTAATATATTATTTATTTTAATTTAGATCCTGATCCTTTAGTATTAATATCATTAGTTCTTTTTATTTCATTAACATTAATGAAACACCTAGTTTAGCATGAAAGAGAACATAAACTCTTGAAAATTATAACATTGTTTCTGCTTGCAATGGCAAATAAATCAATTTTGCTGCTTTTGCTCTAAGAAAATGTTCTGATTATGATATTTGATATTCATATGTTGGCTATTCAAAATCAGAACCTTTCTAAGTAATCAGTAAATTGAATTAACAGGAAAATCTTCATTACGTTGGGGATTAAAGTTTTAAACCCAACATGCATGGAAAGATCAACTCTAGTAATAGTTGAATGTTTCCTCTCCTCTACCAATGTATCTTTTTAAATTAAAACTTCTATGTGCAGCTGTGTGCAGTGGCGTGCCTATAGACCCAGCTGCTTGGGAGGCTGAGGTGGGAGGATCGCTTGAGCCCAAGAGTTTGAGTGCAGCCTGGGCAACATAGTAAGACCCCACCTCTAAAAACAACAGAAAATACTTCTATATGAACTATAAATATGAACTACAAAGGGTTAACTCAGCAAGCTTGGGTTGCTTAAACTGCACATTCTGAAAAATGTCTAGCTTCAGTATTGGCCCTTGACTGGCTCCTGAGAAATGAGTTCTGAGCCTTCGAAATGTCTTGTCTGATAGGAATGTTTTATATGTCTGAGGCCTGGGGCCATGTCATGTAGTTTATGCTAACATTGTGATTTATGGTAAATACCTGTTTTTGTATGTCTGAGGCCTTGTGCTATACTGTATCAGTTTGACCTGGGATGGTGGGGAGGGCAGATGAGATTGAATAGCTATAAGTGAGAGCCACGTGGGTACTACATGCTTAACTGACCACAAAAAAACCCTGGACATCAAGACTTACATGAGCTTTCCTGGTTGACAATACTTCTCATGTATTATCACACATCATTGCTGGGAGGTTAAGCACTGTCCATAAAACTCCACTGTGAAATGACAATTGGAAGCTTGTACCTGATCTTTCCTGAACTCTGTTCTATGTACTCTTTCCCTTTGCTGATTTTAACCTGCATCCTTTTGCTGTTATAAACCATAACTGTGAGTAAAACAGCTCTTCCAAGTTCTGTGAATCTTCCTAGCAAATCACTGAACCTGAGGGTGGACTTGGGGACCCATGAAAGAATGTGTCTAGAGTTTAATTGTTCTGATAGATTTATATTTTCATTTTCTCTTTCATCTTGTACTTACTGGGTGCCTACTGTGCGCCAAGCCCTTGCATGAGCTGCTCCCTCTGCCTAGAGCATCCTTTTCTCAGATATCCCAAATATGGCTTGCCCTTTGCTTTCTCACTGACGTGTCACCTTTCAGTGAGGCTGTCCCAGATTGCCCTATTTTAAAGTGCCGCCTCCACCTCGCTTCCCAGCACTCCCTCTAACCCTTACCCTGCAGTACTTTTCCTGTTGTGTTTTTTCCTATTCATGTATCCTGTTTCCTTATTTATTAGGTTTATTGTTTATTTTTTTCCCCCTCACTAAAATGCAAGCTCCATGAAGGCAGTTCACTCTTCTTGTCATCACATGTTCAGTTCATTCTTCTTTCCACTCGTACACTACACACTTACCTCTTTTCTAAGGGAAACAAACTCAAAGTCCCATCTAGTCCTGACATCAGGCTCAAAGTCCAGAATTTCACAGTAATACACAGCGGTGTTTTTTAATCCTCTTTAATTTAATCTTAAAATCTACAAAACATTTATAGGATTAAAAAATCAAAACTAAATGTAGAGTTTAGTAAGAAGTCTCACTCCTATCCGTTTTCTTTATCCCATTCCTATTCACTTCCTGTAGATAATCATTTTTATTAGTTTTTTGATTGTTCTTCTTGTGGGTTTTTTTGGCAAAAATAGAAACATGTCAAAAAATAATCATGAAGATTTAGTCTTATGCTTGCACAAAATGTACCACACTTGTTTATGGGACTCTTAAGGCTAAGAACATCATAGTATGATAAGTTTTCTAAACCTAGGTGATACAAAGGGAAAAAAAAAGAAAAAAAAGAACATCATATTATAATAAATTAAACACACAAAAATAAGCAATGATTATTTCTAACTTCAGATCACACACTGTGTGCCTGAAAAGAAACCTAGAATGGGGCCGGGCCAGGTGGCTCATGCCTATAATCCTAGCACTTTGGGAGGCTGAGGCGGGAAGATCACTTGAGCCCAGGAGTTAGAGGTTGCAGTGAGCTATGAGGACGCCACTACACTCTAGCCTGGGTGACAGAGCCAGACTCTGTCTCAAAAAAAAAAAAAAATAGACCCAGAGTGATAAAAAGCACAGCTGTTATTTATGCCATTCTTCACAGAGCTGTTCCATCACAAAAGAACATTTTCTTTTCTCACTATATCCTTGAAATCACTCCATGTCAATTCATATATATCTTCAACATTACATTATTTCTCTTTTTTTCTTTTTGATTATGTAATACTCCACTAAATGAATGTACCATAATTTATTCAACCACTTTCCTATGAATGTATATCTAAGAAGCATTTATAGATAGAATTGCCCTTTGCTGTAAGTTATAAATATTTTCTCTCAGTTGGTTGTCTTTTGACTTTGGTTGTATGTGTGTGGTTTCTTTTATGTGTTTCTTTAAATTTTTTAATTTTTTTCCATAAAAAATATTTCTCTATGGTCTGTAATAGAGATCTTATATCATTGGATATAAATAAATATAATTACATAATTGGACTTGTCAGTCATTTATTGCTTTGATATATTTGATCATAGGCATTTTCTATACCTAGGTTATAAAGGAATTAAACTATGTTTTTTCTAGTATTTATGTGGTCACATTTTTTTTTTACAACTTATTCATGTGGAATTCATTTTGTTATTTGTTATAAGATGTGGACCCGATTTTATCTTTCACCAAAGAGCTATGGAATCCCAACATTTTTTAATACTAAATTATTTAATATCCTCAATGTGTTTGAAAAGCCAGATATAATTTCTCACGTTTCCTTGTTCTATTTTGTATGTAAATGCCCTTAATATATTTTTCTAGGAAATCAATGAAAATTCTCTCAAGAGATTAAGTGTCTACTTAGAAAACCTCCAGAAGCCAGGCTTCAAGTCTTTGAAACCAACTCAGCTTATGTTTTATGTAAGAGGAACAGACCAGAATTCCTCTGATGGCCACGAACCATTTAGTACTTCCGGTATGTATTTTATTTCTAGTATGTCCCTTGCAAGTTTCATGTTAAATACATTCATGAATTTTAACATTGCCAAAATACCTTTGGATGGAAGCTTTGGTCATAGAAAAATGATATCATTTGAATGATTATTTTTCTAGAATTATTTAATAGATTCTGTTCCTAGCTGCATGTGCTTGAATAAGACATTTTTTTTGTCTATTTAAACTTTTTGTCTATAAAACTGTAGTGTTCCTATTTGTCCCTTTCCTAGTTCAGAGTTCAGTGTTGTTTTAAGTATTAAACACTATAGACAAAGGTCTATCTATAACAATTTATATTTCTTTTTTTTTTTTGAGACAGAGTCTCGCTTTGTTGCCCTAGCTAGAGTAAGTGCCATGGCGTCAGCCTAGCTCACAGCAACCTCAAACTCCTGGGCTCAAGCAGTCCTTCTGCCTCAGCCTCCAGAGTAGCTGGGACTACAGGCATGCGCCACCATGCCCGGCTAGTTTTTTCTATATATATTAGTTGGCCAATTAATTTCTTTCTATTTTTAGTAGAGACGGGGTCTCGCTCTTGCTCAGGCTGGTTTTGAACTCCTGACCTCGAGCAATCCGCCCGCCTCAGCCTCCCAGAGTGCTAGGATTACAGGCGTGAGCCACTGCGCCCAGCCACAATTTATATTTCTAAAGACTACATCTTGCTTTTCTTATTTAGTCCTCAAAATACCCTGTGAGGTTGGTGATACTTGCCTAGTTGTAACTTAGTGATGTTCAGTGTCTTTCCCAAGATCATAAAAACAGAATATATAGGTCTCGAACCCAGGTCTTTTAACTCCTACCTTATGCTGTTTCTAAAATCTAATCAATCCTAATTGACAACCTTTTCGATACCTTTTGCCACTGCTTTAACCATAATCCAATAATACTTAAAATTAAAGACAAATATTTAGATAAATATCATTAATGGCCTATAATTTCTCTAAATATATAGCTTTTTGATGATCCTTAAGGAAATAACTTTATCTTTAGAATGAACTTAAAATAATTTAAAGATTTACTGAGAGCTTTCTGTCTTAACAAAAACACTTAGAAAATGTACTGTAGGCCAGCACAGTGGCTCATACCTGTAATCCCAGCACCTTGGGAGGCTGAGGCAGAAGGATCACTTGAGGCCAGGAGTTTGAGACCAGCCTAGACAACACAGCAAGACCACATCTCTACAGAAAGATTTTTTTTTAAGTTAACTAGGTGTGGTTGCACACGCCTGTCGTATTAGCTACTTGGTAGGCTGAGGCAGGAGGATCTCTTTACAGTGAGCTATGATCTCACCACTGCATTCAGCCTGTGGGTGATAGAGCAAGACCCTGTCTCTAAAGAAGAAAAAAAGAACTGTGCTATGATGTTTTTGAAACAAACTATCATAAAATGAAATGTGATAGGTCTTTTGAGACCTAGGATCTGTTTCTAGTTCTGCCAGGAATTAGCTGTATGACCTTAACTTCTGGGCCTTCGTTTGTTAAAATGAAAGAGTTGGAGTGCTGTGCAGAGGCCACTCACATTGAAGATTCCACACTTATACTAATGCTCACAAGGTGCTCGGAACTTCAGATGGGAAGAGGAAGAGCTTGATCTAAAAAGTGCTAACATAGGATCTTTATTTTGAAGACAGCTTCCTACTCAGACTCTGTAGGGACTAGTATTTCATAATCTATTTTCTCCTATCTTTTATTCTCCCATGATTGAATATGGGAGATCAGAAATCACAAATGCCTTTTTCCGGCAGTTTTTCCGTCCACCTCTGATTCAGAGTTTTATTAAAAATAGTCCCTATTATTCATTATTCAGAGGTAAAAAGTAAATTTATAGCTCTTTTGTGAAGGAACAGCTGAACTGAAGAATGTTGTAAATAATAATAATTATGATTATCACTCTAAGTGACACAGTTGTGTTTGAAATTGTAAATAATCATTATTTGTTTTAATCCATTATAAATGTGCTGTTCTTAGCCATGAGAGTCTCATAAGCAACTGAGATATGTTGTTTGCTAGTATAAGACCAAATACTCAAGCATAGAACATAAGTTCAGGAATCTGCCCAAAAAAGAAAAAAAAAGGAAAAAAAGTATATATTTTTAAAAAATTTAAATAATTTAATTAATAAATGAGACCAAATACTCATGAATATTTTTTAATAGATATATGTACCTATTACTCAGGGTCAAGATTAGGCTAGGAATTAAAGAAAATCATACTTAGACATAGTGTTCTACTTAGGTTTCCTGATTTCTCTAGCAGAACAGATATAATTTATGAAGATAAATTATATCCTTTATAGTTTTTAAAATTAAAATATTATCAATCTGTTTTTATTTTTATGTATTTGGGAGAGTCAATCTCATTTCCACAGCTGCAACTACTACTACTAAAACTATCATCATCTAGATTTGTCTTAATTATTGAATATACATGGGGTTAAAGAATAAATAGAATTTGAAAGCTTAGAGCAAAATAGAAAGTTTTACACAGCACATTAGGGAAAAAGCTGATACTAGAACTAAGGTTCTCATTTCTAGTCCTATGTTTTTATTTTTATACCACATGATCTATTCATTCTTTTTTAAAAAATATTACTATTAATCATTTTTGCCTTTGTTTTTATGACAAAGCTTGACCCCTAACAAAGATTTAAAACATTTTTATTTCTTTAACATTTTTGTCTGATTATAAAATTAAAATCAAGTGGGTTTTATTTCTAGAACACTAGGAATCATGAATCAACTTTTCCTTGATAATTAAGATAGTAATAAGGTAAAATGTTTATTAATGATTTTCATTACTAAAATTTCATGAATCATTTTGCTTTATTAATACATTAAATCCTTAAAAGCCTAATCATTTCTTCAGCGCCACATCTTTTTGGTGGTTCATGAGGAAATAAGTTTTGTTATTAGAATAAGTTTTAAAACAAGTTGAGGATGTACTAAGAGCTTCCTGTAAGTTAATACTAAAACAAATAGCTAGAGCCAGCTCTGATTTCTGAGTAAAGACAGAAATCCTTTACTTTCAGTTAATGGTCAACTGTGAGTCATTTTTTAAACAAAAATAGGTTATAACCAGGCACAGTGGCGCTTGCTTGTAGTCCCAGCTACTCAGGAGGATGAGGCAGGAGTATCGTTGAACCCAGGAGTTTGAGGCCAGCCTAGGCAGCAAAGTGAGACCCTGTCTGTAAAAACAAAAAAGAAAAAATAAGTTATAGAAAAAATTAAATTATAAATGGGAGAAAACATATAACATATGTGACAAAAAGATAATGTTAATATATAAAAAATTTCCTACAAATCAAAAAGAGAACATAGAGTATCTCAATTACTAAAATGAGCAAGGATAATGAATAGACAGTTTAGGAAATAGTACATATAAATAGCCATAAGTATATAAAAATTTTTATCTTCAGTATTCAAATGCAAACTGAACTATAAGATACTATTTCTTGCCCATTAATTTTTTCTCTTTTTTTACTGATAATTCCCATAGGTGGTGAGAATACATTTTCCCACATTTTGTCATGTGTATAAATTTGTACAAACTCCAGAATGCAGTTTGGAATTCTCTCTCTAAAGCCACAAAATTCCTTTTCTCAAAATGTATCTTAATATTCATATAACAAAAACACTCCTACCCCTTAATTAATATTTTGAAATTAAAAATAAAATAAAATAAATGTATCCTAAAGAATCTGGTCCAGCCAAGACTTAACTATATAGCAGCCCTTACATTGGATTAAATAATTAATGGAATTGATAAATAAAGATAGAAACTGAGATTTATTCCTTGACTTTGCTGTTTAAGGATGAGCTATTTCTTCTTAACCTCTAATGCAACAATTTGGGTTTTTCTTTCCTTCTTCACTGATTATAATAACTCACCTGCCAGTAGTTCTCACATCACCATTAAATGATTCAACCAAAAAGTCTTTCCTAGTTTTCATGTTCTGGATTCCATGTCTGTGTGTAGAATCTGTATCCCTGAGTATGACTTAAATTGTGATAACTGTCAGCAGTTGCAAAGACAAGAAAATACATTTCAGCCTTGAATGGTGAAAAACTGAAAGCAACTTATATGTCCATTACTATTGGAAGTGTTAAATAAATTATACTGTATTCATTGTATAGACTAGTATGTATCTGCTAAAAAGAATGAGGTTGATGTGTACATACAGATATGGAAAGGTCCCCAAGGTTAAGTAACAAAAACAAGTTCAAAACAGTATATCTAGAATGATACCATTTATATATTAATAAGAAACAATTCAAACTGTGTGATTGTGTGTTTGTGTAAATGCACATGCATATATATCATATGTGATACACACACACAGAGATGCACATGATTAGAAAATGTCTAGAGCAGTGCCGTCCAGGGGAACTTTCTGTGATGAGGGAGATGTTCCACATTTGCACCGTCTGACACAGCAGGCACTATCCCCATGTGGCTGTTGAACACTTGAAATGTGACCCATGTGACCAAGGAACTGAATTTTAAATTTTATTTCATTTTAATCAATTTAATTTTAAATAGCCACATGTGGCCAGTAGCTACCATATTAGATAGTACACGTCTGGAAGAGTATGTACCAGTTAATAGTGGTTTTATACCCAAGGATTTGGATTTAAAAAAAAATAGTGGTTATATCTAATAAAGGTTTGAAGATGTATGCCTGTTAATGGGAGATTTTTGCTTTTACTATATTTTACAATAAGCATGTACACATGTAATACTTGTATAATTTTCAAAACTAATTAAAAGTCATTTTTAAAAAGGAGAAAGAAGGTGTTATGGTAGAGAAAATACTTGGCTTGATGTCAACTCAAATTTAAGGCCTGGCTTCATTCTTTACCTTCATTATAACCTTAACCTTCACATTTGACAAGAGAGATGATAATGGCACAGTTGGAATGTTAATTAAAAAGTTACATAAATTCAACCAGAATCATGCCTAATACCCAATAAAGAATAAAAACAAAACCAGTGGATTTCTGTTGGTGACTTAACAATTATTACTATCTTTAACCCAATAACTACCCAACATCAAAATCAGATCATGAAGCAGTTTTAAGCAATTAGAAAATCTTAAATCACTCCTGAAAATATTGGCTTGCTAGCTAGTTGGTGTTGGGCAAATTTAAGGACAATCTTTCAATCAGAGAGAAAATTCAAGATGGATTTCTGTGAGCACGAAGACAGCTAGATTATCTGGCCTGTCTCCTCATCTGAACTACTGTCACAATCTGTCACAATGCAGTCTCTCTCTCTTTCTCTTTCCCCCACCCCCCACTAGAAATTACCTTTGGTGGGTACCTGTTCACAGGAGAGCTTTTCTGTCTTTTAAAAGAACAAATTTATAGGCAGCATTGAAAATATTCTGAATCCCCTTCTTGGGCTGGGATGGGTTTGGTCACTGATGCCAAACTAGAAAATGGTGCTGATGACTGAAAGAATTCATAAAGATAAAAATAGTGTGGCATAATTTTGTAGAAGATAAGTATTTCCATTTACAGATGATCTGCTAGTAGGATGAATTTTAATCAGTAATAGATTGTTTTGAAAGATTTTGATTTTATAAATGTTGAAGTAAAGCAAGTAATCATCTTTATTAATTGTTTGGGGGAATTATATTCTCTAGGATTTCGAGCAGTCAAATTTACTTTGCACACCAGAGATCTGCTAAGCACAGTGTTATATATTCTCAACTCCTGCAGTTTATCTATTGAACATATCCAAAGCTCGAATACTAATGTGCATTCCCAGCCACTCAAAGAAGCTAAAAGGATGTCTGACAGGCCCATCAAATGGGACAAGTCTTACTACTCCTTCACTGGATTCAGGGACCCTGATGAAGACCTTGAACAAGTCTCCAGAATGGAAACAACCCTAACGTATGTAAAAGTGTTTATTTACCTAAACTGTTATTTGTAGTTCATGTTTAAAATTAAAGCCTAATTTTCCAGGAAAAGTAATACCATCAGTATGTTTAATCCAGTGACCATTATAAAAAAGACATTTCATTTTTCTTACTTAAAGTTGCCAGAATACTTCCAACTGTATTTATAATTTTTTGGCCTTTTGATACCCAACACATACAGGAGGTTGTTTTGTTTAAGTTTTAAAAATTCTATTCAAGTTACCCCTGGTATAAGGAGAAAGGCTACACCTAAGACTATAAAAGTGCTTTACATTTCTTCATGTATTAGGCATTTCTAAGGGAGAGTTCAGTAGTAATGTACTTTAGTATAATCTATACATAAGATACATGGAGACAACATTGTAAAATATCTGGAATAGTTTGAGAAAGAATAATTTTTTAAATTATAAAAGCCATGTATAAAATATTTTCTATCATTTGGGATGCCTTGTTTATAAACTTACCATCAATGTTTTTTGAGTAAGTCATTGGGAGTCCATAAAGATCGAGCACATTCTATCCGTATGGTTGTATTTAAAGAGACCAGTGCCTTACCAGAGGACTCTCACTCATTACAACATAGTAAATTATCCTTTATTATCCACTGGCGTGGGACCTGCTTTGTGGATCCTCTATCTTAACTCAGAGATATCCTCCCTTTGTTACCTAGCTAGATCCCAAATAAGGCTGAAGAGATAGGAAAGTAGCAGAGTCCAATGCAGAAAAGGACACAAGTTGTGTCTAAAGGTGTATATGTATGTATCTCTGTGTGATATAGTCTATCTATGCTATTTGTCTATATGCATAACTGATGGATAAATCACCACCCTAAATACGTGGGTTTTTTTTTTTTTTTTTTTTGAGACAGAGTCTTGCTTTGTTGTCCAGGCTAGAGTGAGTGCCGTGGCGTCAGCCTAGCTCACAGCAACCTCAAACTCCTGGGCTCAAGCGATCCTACTGCCTCAGCCTCCCGAGTAGCTGGGACTATAGGCATGTGCCACCATGCCCGGCTAATTTTCTATATATATATCAGTTGGCCAATTAATTTCTTTCTATTTATAGTAGAGACAGGGTCTCGCTCTTGCTCAGGCTGGTTTTGAACTCCTGACCTTGAGCAATCCGCCCGCCTCGCCTCCCAGAGAGCTAGGATTACAGGCGTGAGCCACCACTCCTGGCCAATATGTGAGTTTTAACTGATCAGATTCTCTTCTGTAAACAAAACTGAGATGAAATGTGGGTTTGGGAATGATAATGATAGACCAGAAGTAATGAGACAGTAAGAAGCAGGGCAAAAAATGAAGAGTCATGGTGGCACAGAAGTTGGAGAATTTAAAATTTGGTTTAGAAAAACAGAAGAAATGAATTAAGGTTAATTGCACACAGAGGCTACAGTGGGAGGTGAAGTAGATTTCTGTGAGCACTAGTAGGAAGAGAGATTCTCAGCTATGCATCCACCGGGATATAGCATGTAAAACTTCTTATACCTGCAAGAGGATATTGCTCGTTATCTCACACTTGTCTAGATGTACAAAAGGTTGAGGGGAATGACTGGTGTAGCAGGTATAGATAAAAAGTGAGATCCAGTGAGTCTAGGCAAGAAAACAAAAATAACAGTTGTTGGACCTTTACTCAAGCTAAAGGGCTTAAGAATAATGTATTAAAGAGTTTCAGAGAAGCAGTCCTGTGGTTCAGTTGAGTATTTTGTAGAGCACAGTTTTTTGGGGGTTTTTTTGGAGCTGGATGTGCAGCCATGATGAAAACATTGTACCAAAGACCTAGAACTAAGAATTAGCCAGCTGGCAAAGTAATGAAAACAGCTGGAAATTTTAAAAGGCCAGTTCAATAAGTAAAGTGGTATTCAACTAGATACCTTGTCTAAGCTGAGTATTTATAAATTTCTTTATTTGTATGTAGTTCATCCAATAGAATTCCTCAGTCTTTAATAAAAGTAGACTTTCTTGCATTATATTACATTATACTAGATAGTGAGTTCTTATGTTTTAATCATTTTTATGTCTACTAATCTACTTTATAGATTCATAGAACCTATCCAGTATTTTCATGAAACTGAATAAAGAACTGTTGAATAAATGTGAATGTCATGTGCTAGAGGCTCCATGTAGTGAACTCATAGAAATGTAAAGTAGTTTAATACAGATTGTAGTAATAGAGGTGGCTTAGCAATGAATGTAAAGGGGCATTTTTTTCTTATAGTACCTATGTTAATTTCACTGGTCTTTACTAAAAACTATCTGGTATTTTTAGCAGCAGGAGAGAGATACATTATCTAAAGGAAATTTTCTGTGTGTAGATGAGTTGTGTTGCTATAAATTCTTGATTTCCTCCAAGGTATGCTTTGTTTTAAATTCAAACTCTATTTTGCATTATCAAGACAAGGTCAAAAAATGTCATTTTGACTTTTTGTCTACCCTTAAAGAGGACAGCAACTTAAATAGACCACTGTTTTAGAAATTGAAGTCAGTGGCAACTTAACTTTCTAATTAATTGATTATTATTATCCAATCAAGTTATCAATAACTATTTATCATTACAAATATTAAAGTGAACCTATTATTAGGCAGATAAAATCTTTCTTAGTTTCATAAAATGAAATGAATAATGATATAGCATTATAGTAGATAGTTTTGTCCAGTTTTTTTTTGTTTGTTTGGGTTTTTTTGCGACAGAGTCTCACTCTGTTACCCAGGCTAGAGTGCCGTGGTGTCAGCCTAGCTCACAGCAACTTCAAACTCCTGGGCTCAAGCAATCCTGCCTCAGCCTCCTGAGTACCTGGGACTACAGGCATGCACCACCATGCCCGGCTAATTTTTTCTATATGATTTTAGTTGTCCAGCTAATTTCTTTCTATTTTTTTAGTAGAGATGGGGTCTTGCTCTTGCTCAGGCTGGTCTCGAACTCCTGAGCTCAAAGGATCCACCAGCCTCGGCCTCCGAGATTGCTAGGATTACAGGCATCAGCCACCAAGCCCGGCCAGTTTTGTCCAGTTTTTAATGCTTATATTGGGGGGCCCTTAGATTATATTTCTTAGCATGGGTATCTTAGTGACTTATCTGAACCAGATCATCATACCTCATGGAGTTTGAGATTAGCTCAGGAATGTATAATTTTAGAGCAAAAAGGCCAGGCTGGTAGTATAAGAGAGGACAGCGTCTTGCTGAACTAAGGCAAGAAAAGGAGTACTGCTCTTTGAGTCCTTAAAATGAATTGCAGTGTAGGCCCTGTGGAGTTATGACACCTGTACTGATTTGAAAGGTTCATATCTCTATTTCTTTAGCTTAACCTGATTTCCCAATTCTAGCATGAACCCAGAGCCCCTTCAAGCCAATCTTGACCTGTTCCCAAGCAGAGATATTGACCTATTTGAAGGAACGTCTGCTAAGGGTTTATGTTAGTTTTTCCCAGCAAGGGTTCCAGAAGCTTATATCATAAAGGCCAGAATGGTATCTGGATCAATTTCTCATTTCAGTTACTACTGACTTTTTAAAAATCTATAATTATTTTATAAATTTTAAAGTTGTTGAACCATTTGAGAACTTTCAAATTACGTGAATCAAGTGATTGCCCAGTAGGAAGATTATTTAGGGTGCCTGTAACTTGACTAAAACCTGTTAGTAAGTAGTCATGGTCATTTTGGCAGTGTACAGTTAAAGTTTTTAATTTTATTCTTGTATTATTTAATTCATCTTCATTATTTAGGTAGGTAACAGAGAGGAATTATAAGGATCACATGCTGAATTATTTAGTTCAAAAGGAGCATAAAAATGATAATTCTGCTAAATTACATTAAACTGATCTTCACCTGATTTATAAATATATTCATCTTATCAAAATTCTTTTTTCTTTTTAATTCATTCGTGAAAGCAAGTTAAGATGGTTCTAATATTTCTGAACACATGTTAAAAAGAAAATATGATAGTATTATTTAGTGTAGACTAACCTTTTTTTTCTTCCTTTTATTTCATCATATTATGGGGGTACAAATATTGATAGGGTTACAAATGTTGACCCTGCCCCCCTTCCCCTTTAACTTTTTAAATAGTTAACTTTTTGTCTGTTTTTGGTTATGCTGAGAAGTGTAGGCTGAAATTGTCTCTTAGCATTTAAAAAAATTTTTTAGAGTTATTAATGGGTAGCACAAATGCTTTTATTTGCATTTTCTCTTATTCTTGATTTCCATTTTTAAAAAATGATTAGATATGTGAATAAATCGTAAAGGGATTGAAAGGCTCATCTACAAAGTTGAAAATTAGCCATGGGTCAGTGAGTGCTGACATATGAAATACTGTAGGCAGTTCCGCTGACCCACATTCTGCAATAGTTGGCAGTAATATCACCTTTCAATCATTCTTCCTTCCCTCAAAGTATAAATGTTCTGTCGGCTATATTGTATTGTATATTTCAAAAGTTGGAATTGTCAAATTCTTCTGCATTTTTTCCTCTATGCTTTCAGTCACATGCTCTAAAATTTGAAAAGAAATCACAGCTTAAACACATTTACTATGCCGATAATTTCTTTCAAGGAATCATATATCTGTCTTGAGCATTTTTTAATTTTTTAAAAGAAATTATGAAAATCAGTTAAGATTTTTAAAAACACAAAATGCAAGAATTATCAGGTCCTAAAAGCTCTATTTAATCCATTTTCATTTTATATCCAGCAATTGCATTTTAATCTACATTTTAGGACATACTATGTAACTTTGAATTTCTCAGCAAATTGTATTTTATCTCACTTCAAAATCACTCTATTGTATGCTACATAAAAATGATAAAATGAAAATTTTAATATCTAAGGAGTTTTTGAAATTATATACTATTATAAAAGGAATTTCCAGTCTGGAAAAAAGTTAGGAAATGCTATTCTGTGTTGTAGATTTTAGTATTTCCATATTTTGGATATTCTCTGATTATCAAATAATATCAACATATTTTAATTATATAACTTGTGTTTCC